TGAAAAATGTGTCATTGGGTGATTTTGTCACTGTTTGAACATCATAAAGTTTAATCACACAAACCTACTACACTAATCATATAGTCTACTACATACTCAGGCTATATGGTATAGCTTATTGCTCCTAGGCTACAGACCTGTACAGCATGATACTGTACTGAATACTGTAGGCAAGTGCAACTTAGTGGCAAGTATTTGTGAATCTAAGCATAGAAAAGGCATGGTAAAATCATGGTATAAGAGACCAAAAATGATACACTTACATAGAGCACTTACCATGAATGAAATTGCTCTGGGTGTCAGTAAGTGAGTGGTGAATAAATGTGAAGACCTAAATTATTACTGTGCACTACTGTGGACTTATAAATGCTGTACACTTAGGTTACATTAAATTTTTAAATTTATTTAAAAATAAAGGAATTGTACCATGACATGAGTATGACTGTGGCATAATTTGGTGATAGGAATTTCTCAGCTCCATTATAATCTTACAGGATCACCATCATGCTGCAATCTGTTGTTGACTGAAATGTCATTATGCAACATGTAACTGTATTCCTTTCTCCTATCTATTTTTGGGGGGAAGTATATGAAGGATTAGTGTTAATTCTATTGCAGATTTTAGAACTAACTAGCAAAGCCACTGGGCCTGGGCTTTTCTTTGTAGGAAGATTATTGATTGCTAAATTAATCACTTTACTTGTTATTGCTCTATTTAGAATTTCAATTTTTTCTAGAATCAGTTTTGGGAGTTTGTGTCTTTAATACAATACCATTAATGGTACATATCAACACTGGGCCAAGAGGTGTCCATTTAATATTGTTTCTGAGTGTATCTGTGAGGGGTTTTCTGGATGAGATTTGTATTTGAATCCGTGGATTCATTAAAGTAGATTGCCCTCCCCAATGTTGGTGGGCATCATCTAATCCACTGAGCGCCAGAGGAGATCAAAAGACAGATGGAAGAGGAATTCATGCCTTTTGATTCTTGCTTTTCTGCTTCTGTTGGAATCTCGGTCTGCTCTTACCCTTTTACTGCGATTAACACCATTGGCTCCTCTGATTCTCAGGCCTTCAGACTTGGATGAGAATTACATACCCAGCTTTCCTGGGTGTCCAGCTTGCAGATTGTGGAACTTCTCAGCTTCCGTAATTACTTGAGCCAATTCCTCATAATAAATCTTTTCATATATATATGAAAGATAGATATATAAAA